CATATATATCTTCTAATTTTAAAATATTATTGACAATCTATTTTTTATGTCGATTTTAATAAGTAGTATTACCTCAGTAAAACGAGTCCCAATGTCACATCGTTATGGTTGTAAGGATGCCGGAATGCAATAATATCCAATTTTGATAATGTCTGCATATATTTTTGTTTAAAATAAGGCATAACCTTTTCAATAACATCTCTTGCATAATAAATTAGTTGTTGAGCACTTTGGCTGCACCATATGGTAACATTTGCAAGGTGACTAGAAACATTAGTAAATGTGGTTATTACAACCCTTATGTGTTGAAGAGACATTGATAATGATTCGTCAAAGTCAGTCCACATCATGCGATTGTTAGCTTTGTTTCGTACTCGTATAGGCATGTTCGATAAAACTGTATATTCTTCATCATGTTTGATGGCAATTTTAAATGTAGATTTGGTGGTTGACTCGTTCATGTACGGAAATAGTTGTGAGACGTCCATTATTACGATACCTGTTTTGTTCAACCTGTAATATTTCAATGCTATAGTTTAGATAAAGATATATTATTAATTATAATTGAGTTAAAAACATTAAGGTTCAAAAATTATAAAAAATTTTATAATTCGCTGTCTCGAGTGTGACAATTTGGAATGTAGTTCTACATGATATGTCGACAAATTTTTTGCATAGTTTCTGGCATGTCAAGATAATGATGAGTACATTAAAAATATTTTGTACAGAATAGTAACGTTCATATAATTTTACGGCTAACGATATGTTTGAAATATTTTAACTTACATTTCACCTAATTTGTCTAGATGTACAGATTGGTATACACTACTGTTTTCATATATTACACGCATATATGTAAAATTTAATGTGTATGTATCAGTCGATATGTTACGATGCAATTGAATAGGAAGAATAGTGTTATGGTTGAAGAGTACAGAAGACGGAATCACAATTTTTTTACTGTTAGTCAAGACTGCTTCAATTGTATGAACGGGTATGGTGTTTAGTTTTATTAAGTTCAATACACGGTTAGTGCGTATAACAATACCACATTGTCCGAGTAAAATATTGTCCTTGAATAGAAATCGTATTTTGACATTATAATGCAACGGTACTATTTCTGGCAAGTTGTTATAATTAACCGGATCGTCATATTCGATACAGTTAGCAGTAGGAAGAGTGATAGTTATTGTAGCGATTAATATTAGTCCACCATTTAATAATAATTTTCGGAATGCCATATTCATGTCAATTTGATTAGAATTTTGATCTGTAAGAAATATATTGTAGTTAGAAAAAGAGAAACACATTTGCAACACCTTTAATTTTTATACATCAAATAAAATTATTGAGAGAAATTGCATTGATTTATACCATATAAACTTTTATAAGAAATATTAAATAGAAACATAAATAATTTCTGAATAATTTACAAAAAGATGTGATTTTGAATATAAGACAATATATTGAATTGTATAATATACATAATGCAACATTTCAAACATTTTCTTAATTATTAACAATTCGATAATATAAAACCTATAAAATTAAATAATTTTCAACCATTATTATAATGCAATTTTTACTTTTTTTTAGAAACAGAATATGTTTTTCAAACAACTAG